CCCTAAACCCTAAACTACAAACCCTAAAGCCTTAGCCGTTGGGGAGTATCAGGGTAAAGTCCCAGTCTCAGGGCCCAACACCAGATTTCTGGCCCGAAGACCCTGAATCGTTTAGGGTTTAGGGTAGGGTCCAGGGTTTAGGGTTTAGGGCTTAGGGTTTAGGGTTTAGGGTTTAGGGTTTGGGGTTTGGGGTTTAGGGTTTAGGGTTTAGGGTTTAGGGTTTAGGGTTCTGAACCCGACAAACCTGAAAGCTCATAGCCTTCCAAGCCGAAGGGAATTTGTCTCTGGCGTTTTTCCAGCACCTGCGGCACTCGCGTCGCATACGGCACCCTAGAGCGAATCAGGTTTCGCTGTTACCGCGCACCCGAAGTTCTAGGTTTCGATAGTACGCTAGCCCTAAACCCTAAGTAGTCGAGGTTTCGATGTCAAGCTGCCTCATGTCGAGGCCACCCCTGAAGCGGAAAGCAAGCGCTGCCTCGTAGGGCAGCCCAGGGTTTCTTTGCGTTTTTAGGGGTTTAGGGTTTAGGGTTTAGGGGTTTAGGGTTTAGGGTTTAGGGGTTTAGGGATAAGGGTTTAGGGGTTTAGGGGTTTAGGGTTTAGGGTTTAGGGTTTAGGGTGGGGATTCTGGAATCCTAAACCCGAAAACCCTGAACCCTTGATGGTTTCGGGCTGTGGGTCTCAGGATCTTACGCTTCAGCGGGTTGAGGGATGTGGGATGTCCAGGTTGGCAGGCTCTACGACGTTAGACTGCTTAATATAGGGGCCTTAATGATTAGGTTTGGGGGTATGTGGGTATAGTATACCATGGCTATAATTCTGATTATTAATGCCCCTACAATAAGTAAGATAGTCTTGCAGGTTGGACTTGTGCCCGAAAGCGGGGTTGCGTCCAGGGAAGTGGTTGAAAAAGCTGGCCCCCGAAAGCCCTAAATGCCTAAATCCTAATCCCTAGACCCTAAACCCCTGAACCCCCAGAGCCCCAAACCCTAAAGCCTAAACTTTGCCCGTCAAGCCTTGAACCCCTAAACCCTAAACCCTAAACCCTAAAACCTGTAACCTTTCAGCCTAAGCCCTTGCTGGAGTTCGCTCCTGGTAGGGTGCGGCTGCCCAGCCGGAGCCATGGAGCTGGGGTTTAGGGTTGAGGGATTTCCTGGATCTTGGTTTATCTCCATGGAGGCCAAATTCCCTGCATCTACGATCGGGTCACCCCGCTTCACTTCCATGCTCAAGTTCTGGGCCGCCAAGGCAGAGATGGGCGGCCAGAATGTGGCCAAGCTCTGCGGTTTTAAACCATTTAGGGTTTAGGGTTTAGGGTTTAGGGCGGCCTCGGCAATATCATGCCGACAGTTCGCGCCCGGCGTCATCGGCTCGGCGACTAGCTTCGACTGCCCAGTTCTTTTCGTTCACGCGAGAACGACCTCGCTGATCAGAGCCCTAAACCCTAAAACCTAAAC